CAACGTTTGTCCAAAAATTTCTATTTTTATCGAGCCAATACGCATAATATACAATCGCAAATCCACCTTTTCCTATCTCATATATATCTTTAAATTCGTTATAAGGAATCCATGATAGTTGATACTTTTCATCATCTAATATTTTTTTTAAATTATCATCAACGTTTTCATATGATAATTTATTTATCCTTTTCACACCTCTTTCTTTTCGATACCAATGATTTGCTCGTTGTATATCTCTCGGTACACCGATTCCATTTCGATAACAGTTACCAACATCTGTAATTCCTCTAATATGACCCATATCTGCAGATTTCTTAAAATATTCAAATGCTTTCTTTTCATCCTTTTCGATTCCTACTCCTTGCAAATAACAAAGACCAATTTCATGTGTTCCCATAACATCCCCCATTTCTGCAGATTTTTGATAATAAATAAATGCCTTATGTTCATCATTTTCAACTCCAATTCCATTTCGATAACAACGTCCAACCATATATGTTCCATCAGCGTCCCCCATATCTGCAGATTTTTGATAATAAGTGAATGCCTTCTGTCCATCTTTTTCAACTCCAGTTCCATTTTGATAACAATATCCAAGATTAAATGTTCCACCAACACTTCCCTTCTCTGCACATTTTTGATTACATATAAAATACTCGTGTTCATTCTTTCCAACTCCTCTTCCGTAATAATAGCATTGTCCAACCTGAAATATTCCTTTAACATTACCCATATCTGCAGATTTTTGGTAATAAATGAATGCCTTATTTTCATCTTTTTCTACACCTATCCCATGTTGATAATTGTATCCAAGGGTATAAAAGTCTGATTTTTCTTGATCAACTGAATTATTATGGTTCATTTTACTTTTTAAATGTGGGAAAGAACAAAGAAACCGAATTCACAATTTAAATAATTTAAATGCGTGTATTGCTATTTTATAAAGTTTTGCTTAATTTTCGAGTGGTACAATTTTTTATAAGTACTATAACTCCAAAACTTTAATTGAGGTATGTACGTACGTACGTACATATGTAAGTCCAATTACATCTTATTGAAGTCGATAAGTTGGGAAATATTTGATGCCCTGATTATGCGCTGCATTACAGATTATGCCAAGCATATACCTGCATACTGTGTAATAATTTGGGTTTTACGTTACTCAGTTTTTATCGAGAATGTACCAGAATTCGCTTTATGTAAAAGCGTTTAAAAATTTTAATGTGCAAACAGACTTGCTATAAAGATGTTAATTTTTTCTATTACCGTAAAATCTTGAAATAACGTCATGGTCATTATTTCAAGAGTCGGCCCGAATTTTTTTTTAAATCAGTTTTTTTACTACATTAACACAGTAACTAGATTGCGGTTAAGTTGCAGAGAGTGAAAAATTGCATTTATGTATTTATAAACATGATAATGAGAAATAAAAAACTTTAGTTTTAGTCTAAGGTATTCATTAGATCGTATATACATGAACAAAATTTTTAAGATCTTTTCATATAATTGTTTGACTTCATATTTCTAATCCTTAATTGTTATATCTAGATCATGTCTGGTTTTACATCTTATTTGTTCCATTTTTATTATAATATTTGGTAGCTGCGTGACGTGCGATGTTATGCAGGACTAGTACGATCAGATAGGATAAATATAACACTACATTATCTAAAGCCAGATTTTCAAAATGAATATTTAACCTGTGTTATTTAAAGCCAAATCTGAATAAACTTAGCGGTAACTATAATATACACTAAAATATAATGGTCTAAGCTCATGCATAAATTAAAGCTAGTGCGATATATAAAAAATTCTATTATAAAATTTACTAAATTTATAGCATAAATAGTATGTGGTTTTCGTAGTTTGCACTGGAATTATTTTATTATAAAATATTGTTACAGGACTTGCAAAGGTTTAGTAAGTTCGTATTAGAATTAATGTCATAAGTTACCGTAAAAGATATAGTTACAGAATTATTTGCAATATCAATGGTCGTATACGTTGATTGTTATTAGTTACAAGTAACTCTCGATATAAGAAACCTTCGATATAAGAAACTCTCAATATAAGAAAGTTTTTGCAAGTCCAAATTAAAAATTCTATAATAAAAAGCTCTTCGTATAAGAAAATCTCGATATAAGAAAGGTTTTGACTGGACCCAACAACTTTTCTTATATCAAGATTCACTTGTATAGGAAAATGCACATGATCATGAGCAAATCTTTTTATTACGGAGAATTAACATAATGCAACCCAAAAATTTAATGCGTATGATGCGCACGTTGCATAAAGTTTGAAAAATCCCATTACTAGTATTGCTGGAAAAAAATTGAAGCTCGGAAACACCCTTATTTTTTAAAAGGTGAATTGTAGTACATTGACAAGAGAGTAATTTATAATAACGATCATTACTAAGCCAATTCCAGTGTTGAACATAATATTACTAATCAATTTAGTGAAACCTATGGGATTTTCTTTGAATCAATAACTTTTTGCAGAGCAGATCTTAAAAAAGGTTAAAATAAACACGCATGTACGTACGTACGTGCTATTACTCTACAAACATTAGATTGGGCGTAACATCTATCAAAAAATAATAATATTTTTTTTTAAATGCATATTGTTGATTGCAATAAATATATTTATATTGGACGTTTTATTAAAAGATAAGTAATAGTTATGAGGCACGAAGTGCCGAATAACTGAGTTATTTGCTGTATGCTATTTGATTGGTCGATTTAAGCACCGAAGGTGCTTAAAATTCGACCAGTCAAATCATATGGCAAATAACGGTAAGGTACAATAGTGTTCTAATACTAGTAAAGCGCGATAGCGCTTTACTAGTATTAGAACAACTATTGTACCGTAGTTATGAGTACTTCGTGCTTGAATAACTGGGTTATTCGGCATTTATATTTATTGGATTTTGCATACCAACTGTTGACCGGATTTGAAATTTTATGATTTTTATGCATATGAGTTACACACGTTGTTCGAATATATTTTAAATCCGTTCCGGATTTAAAATATTTCGGATAACGTGTGTAACTCATGTGCATAAAAATCATAAAATGTCAAATGCCAGCTAACAGTTGGTAAATGCAAAATCCAACAAATAGAAAATGCTGTATAATTTATTATATAATATATATATGGATTTTAAAAAATGGTGCATCTGCACCATAGTGCACCCTAGCTATATTTCAAAATTTTACTAGGGTAACCCTGTTGTGCGACTAATAAAAAATGATCGTTACACAATTTTATCTAACCCTAACCTAAACCCTAACCCTAACCCTAACTCTAACTAATCATAACTTTACTTAAAATTTGCTATATCTCAAAATTTTACTAGGGTAACCCCTGTCATGTAACTAAGTAAAAATGTTCCTCTCGCAATTTTACCTAACTCTAACCTAAACCCTAACCCTAATCCTAACCCTAACCCTAACTAATATTAACTTAAGAATTTGCTAGGGGGTGCACCAAAATATAAATTTCTATATATATTATATTTATATAATTGATTTGACCAATTTGACCAGACCAATTTGACCACTAATTTGCCCAATACTGATTACTGTAATTGATTTGATTGGTTAATTGGCATCTTTTGATTATATATAACAAAATCAAATGTATATGACATATTAAATCCGCCTATATAATAAAAAATGCGCGCAGATCCTCGATTTTGATTGGCTATCGGTTGAGGATCTTCAAAATTTTTGCCCGCATTACATAATTGTTTACTAATTTCTGGCCAAAATTAACTTTTAATTTTTTCATTACAAAAATAGAAATTTTAAGAAATAAGCCCGCATTATGATAAAATTGATCCAGGAACAATTTTCACTTAATAGGCGGCTGCGATTTCATTAGCGTTAGTAAAATTATGAGTAATTCCGCCTAATTTTTTGATCGTCGCTCTTAGCCAATCAAAATCGAGGATCTGCTGCGCGGCACCTAGGTTCAATAATTTTTTAACTTTGAGCGAAGTTATCTCCACAGCCACCTGATCAAATTTGATAATTTTTTTAATTTTAATTCTATGAATCCATAGAAAAAAAATATCGAATTTGGTCAGGTTGTTGTGGAGATAAGGTAGAATGTTTTTACTTTTTCTCTGAATATTACTGTTACACAAATCGGATGATCGTCACGTGCGGGAAAAATTTCTTGTGGGTGACGTATAATTTCGCCAATATTTAGCAAGGCCGAGTAGCAGAAACGATGTGAGCGATAAAGATTCCGAAGGATAGTTAACAATAGACTGATTTATAGGACTTATTATTCGGTATACATTTTAATATTTTGGGATGTTGAATGGACGGCACGTTATTTACGTTTTTTCTGTTATTTTCTATACTGATACACCTAATTATATCACTAATTCTAAATCGAGCCAATCTTAACTAGAACAATAATTGTCGAAGAAAAATAAGTGCGTATACTACGTTAAATATCTAAAAAGCCCAATAAATTACTATAGCAATATCATATTAGTATATTAGTATCGGATACCATCGGAATTCCGATTGTTCACTATATAGTATGAAATCCGCTAAAAAAGCTTTAGACATCAAAAACGTATAACAATATCCCGGGAAAGTGTTTTTCACGGACATCAACTTATAATCATGTTTAGAGTAAATCGAAGTATAATCATGCATTTTATTATTTACCGCTAAGTATCTAACATACTTTAATTTCCTTGAAATATACATACTGCTCCGAGACAGACCATGACGAACCGATGATGTTTCATCAGGATACGTTGGGGGCCACCCTTAAAAATAACAAGACACTAAAATATTATTATGAGATATTACTACAAATCTGGATTTGGTTTAATCCATGGAACCTGATCGACAAACATCACATTCGTAATACCCTTATTATAAAAAAAAACTATTTAAAAAAAAGTTATGCGTAGTTAAAAATTCATTCAATTTTAGATAAGAATGAACAATAATTCAATTTCATTAATCACTTTATGATCCATTATACATATTCTCTTGAGTTTTAACCACGTAATTCTGGTAGAGAATATCCATAAATGAAGTGTCAGACTAGTGGTATTTTCATTTGAAAGTAGTAGTAAATTTTCAATAAGCTCAAAATGATGCTAATATTGAAAGAGATTTGAACTAATTAAGAACAATAGTATCTTCACACCTGAATTAAATATAAGTATCTTTGGGTAAATTCAGGTTTGCTCATTATCTTTTGTGCGCGATTTCCGCGTTGATCATATCTATCCAGAAATTCGGAAAGAGAAGCAATGGAAGCATCGAGAACCTGTGTACGTTGTAAACCTTGATTATTCTCTCCATACGAAGTCGTTGACGTGACCGGCATATGGTTTAATGTGTTTGTTAATAATGCGGGCGTTGATGTGCTTTGACCAGACTTAACAAACGGTGGACCTGAGTTCCTCATATAATGATCATGAGATGTGGTTTCTCCCGGTAATGACATCGGTTGTGGTAAGGAATTTGAAGAGATATATGAATTTGATGCTATTCCTGTTGAAGAGTTATTAGTTGGCTGGCGAAGTAAATCTAGAAGCAATTTTCCATCAAGAGATTGATTCGACGTTGCAGGTGTAGCCTAAATATATTCAGATAAATTTAATTATTAAATTTGGTAAGGACTTTAAATTAATATAATAAACATTTTTAATTTTACTGACAGGTATTGACGTATGTATTAAAGAATCAGCATGATTAATATTCTGAAATAACTCGCCAATTACATTTTTATGTGAGTGAATATCAGATTGTACATTTCGCTTGGGTGACGTTATTCCATTTACTTGTTTAATCTCAGCCCGTTTTAGAAGATCCACGATATCGATTGGTTTTCCATAAGAATTTGAATTAGTTGTTTGTGTGATTGAAGATTGTTCTATCTGTAGCGACGTGCTGACTGTCTTTGATAACTCACGACATCTAAAAGCCAAATGCGGAGAAGTTGATAATATAATTCATAAAATGTATTTTAATAAAAATTAACTTACTCCCACAATTGCTTTCTTATTCGCTCCCTATCTTTTGCTTCATATACCCAAATACCATGAATATTATCTGTTATATGAAACAACAATGAAGCAGCATAATCCAACCAATGATAAATCGTATAACAAATATATAAAAAAAAAAAAGAGCATTGAAGATACCATCGTCTGTGCGATATATGATATATTCGTCTTTAAATTCAAGTTCCATGCTATCTGTTAGAGGAGCCATAAAATTATCGATGCCTAACCGATTCATAATAATAAAGCCATACGCAGGCTGTACGCATCTGAATATAATCAGATTAAATCAGATTAAAAAATTATTGTAATTTCTAAATTGAAGTACGTATACGTATTAAAATTTTATACACACCTTCTAAAGACAAACATTGTACCCTCAACACCTTTCTTTGTCTGCCGTTGTTTTTTTAGTTTTTTTTTTAGTTTTTTTTTTTATTTTGAATATTCGGAACCCGTCAATTATGTTCAGAATCCGTGATTTTTCGGGCCATAAAGCTTTTTTTTTTGGTTGACAAACGTTCAACATACCCATGCAGATTGATCGTGATCAAATTTATATACAACGACGTAACTTGAACTATCAATGATTTCGGCAATGTTCTCATCGTGTCGACGCAAAACATTCAAATTAACTGCTTTTCTCGCAAGAGGATCCATGTTAAAAAGTTTAGGTTTGAGTGTTTTAACATCTAAATGTCAAATATATTATCAGATATCACGTCAGGTGATTTTTTATCTAATTGGTGTTCCATTAACCATTTTCAGATTAAAGCAAAATTTGATTCGATCTTTTAATCCATTCCTTTCGTCATGAGAAGTTTGGGAGATAATTGCGTAGGCCAGAATAAAAATAATAGATAATCAAATACCTATCTTGGCGGATAGTGAATGGGTTTACATGAGAATCACTTAATAAAAACTGAATGGTTTTAGATGAGTTGAGAAAGAGCAACATAAGAATGAGTAAAAGACTTGATAAATATGATAATGACGAAAAAGATTATAGCTTCATGGTCCCAGGTCATACAAAGCTTAGTCTAGATGGTTTTTTTGGATTATTTAAACTTAAAGGCCAAGAAAAAATTAACAAAATAGACAATCATCGTCTATATAAAAAATTACTTAATCAAATTATGAGTACTGTTAAATACTCAATATGGATAATTTATGATAATAAAGTTTATAAAACCATACCAATAATTATAATAATTATGTGAATGTTTCACGCAAGGTTATACGTACGTAGTTTAAATAATAACTTACAAAAAATATCAGCTAAATTAATATAATAAACCATATATATGTAATATATATATATATATATATATATATTTCATTTTGTTAAATGTTATAATTTATTAATAAAGATTTATATAGCAAACTATAAATATTGTTTGTAAAAAAAATCAGGTGCTTTGATTCTAAATCAGTCACAAAAAAAGATTAAGTCTAATGTTTTAAATTAACATTTTTCGAAAAAAAATCACATTAACATCGAAATTTCATCTAAAAAAAAAAAAAAGTTCTTGCAAAATTTTGGTGTAATTTAGTCTACTAACACTAACCCTAACTAAAACATCACATTTTAAAAGGACAGTGACATGTAAATAATTCCAAATAATTCCAACCGATAGGAAGTGTGGGGGAATTATTTTACGTAATTATGGGATTATTAATTTTTGGGCAGACTATTCAACGTTAAGCATTTAAATCAATTCTCTACAGTCCTTGTTATCATATATATTCTTTTCGTTTTATGGAATAATGACAAATCTCTGTTATTTGCAGAACAGAATTAACGATTATCAAACCATCGGATGAGTTAATACTATAAAAAATCTCCAAAAAAAGAAAGAAAAAACTTTAATAATAATATATCAGATGCATCTTTTTTTTTTTTTTCTTTTTTTTAATCTCTATATAAAAACCAATTTATAAACATTTACCAAATTTTCAAAAAGAAAAGAAAAACAATAAATGTATAAAATGTATATCACCGAAAATGTATGGGACATTCACCACCTCTATCAAACCATCCCTGTATACAATGATAATGATATGAACATAAACAGTTCAAACGCGTTACGGTTTCGCCTATTTTTTTTATTAACGAGAAATATGCAGTTTTGTGAGCATAAAAGACGAAAGCAAAATGAATTGAAATGAATCGAATAGTATTTAAATATAAGATAGGTTTAAATTTATTACCGGCAAGAAATTCTTCGAAGCAGATAGGGCATTCTTGGCCGACGAGGAAGTTATTTTGAAGGAGTTTATATACTGTAGTAACAAAAGAGAATTCCGATTTTGTCGTAGATAGTGGTGATAGGGGAAAGTTTGGTGGGAATGATACCAACACATAGGAAATAAGACAGAAACCGCGAATAAGTTATAATAATGTTTCGCCAACAATTTATGATAGGGCCTTTATTAGTTCTTTCTTTCTACCCTGCTTTTCCGTTTTGCTCAAACTGACAAAATCTGCTCACCCACATATTTATAACCGCTAACGCTATTTCCATTCTTGTCTAAACATTGCTGGACGTGTTCTTCTTGGGCATTCTTTCCTCCAACTTTGCTTAACGTCATGTTACAAGCAGGGCATTCAGTCATGGTTGAACTACTACTCATACGTCTGCTGTTACTAACAGATGATGCACCTCCAACCAATGAAGTAGAAGTGAAGCTATTTGACCGTGGACGTGGAGTAGGAATTGAAGAACGACACGCATCACACACGCGCTGAGGAGTTTGACTGATTTCACTATTTCCAGAAGGATTAATGAGAAGCTGATGAGGTTGCAAAACAATTCGTGCACTGGAGCATTTGGCGCATACAACTTGACCGCATCGTCTAATTTTTGTGCGCATTTATTAAATAAATTTAAACACTTAAAAAGTTAACCATATTTTTATATAATAATTATAATGCTTAGTACAGACCTGCAGTGATGTTTTCTAACAAACATACTAAACCTCCCTTTACATTGACGACATTCATTTACATCTTCATCATTTTCCCACTTGTAACCAGAAGATATTGAATGTCCGGAGGCATTTGTCATGTTGATACCTGTTTGAGGATGTGCTCTGGTTGGAGATACTATTTGATTCTCATAAATTGATGGTTGAGTATTACCAACATCTTCACTTGGAAAAGCATTTTTCCATGGATCTTCAATCACATCAACGCTTACTGTTGATGGTGCTCTATGGTTGGTAATTATTCCCGTATCAGTTGTTTTCGGGATGTTGGACGATAAATCTAATCTAAATGGAAGAATGGGAGAAGGGGACTTTGACAAATTTGGAGTCATCGGTACATCATGGAGACTTGGACTTCGCGGAGTGACATCATTTCCCTTTACCATATTTTCTAAATATTCAGCATGCTGCATAAAAGTGCTAACTAGCGATATGGCTTCTTGTTTTCGTCGTGCATTTTCATCGACTACCAATTTTAAATGATGGTATTATTATTATGTTGATAAATATATATTAAATAAAGAAAATAAATAAATAAATAAAATTATGAATACTTTTAATTCCTGATGACAAAATTTCGATTGCTTCTTTATACTTCGCTAATTGTTCAGAGAATGAAAGGTCAACAGCCTTTCCTTTACTATTATTATCAGAATTTTTTTTAACAATAGATTCAGCCCTCTCAATATAGTCCGGTGTATCATTTTCATTTGAAATAAGTTGTAATCCATTCTCAGTAAGATCCATACGACGTTTCATAACACGAACCCATCTCCTTCTTCGGACCCAACTACCACTGTTTGATTGTGTTGTTGCAGTCCACATTCCATCAGGGTCATCGAAACTTTTAGAGTATTGCCATCCTTGCGAGTCCACACGTGGATGAGTAAAATCAATTTGCCAATCGGTGACCCAAAACCAGGGTTTCTGAGAAGACTTTGATGAAGTTGCATTTGAAAGAACTGAAACAGATGATGATGTTATCCCTGCAGGAAGACGAACGCTTTCCTTAGATTGAGGTTTCCCACTAGGATGCTCAGACCAAGGACCACGAATGTCACTTTTTAAAAGGCTATTTGCTGAATATTTTGATGGGCCACGAATAGATAGACCAAATGATGATGATGATCGTTGATTTTCATGAAGAACAACAGGTATTGTAATGTGAAATGAATAAAGATCATATGGCTGATTCGTATCTGGTATATGTGCAAGATCGTTGAAAGAAGATGCTGTAGAAAATAAAATATTAAATAAAATGAAATAAATAAAATGAAATAAATAAAAATGAAATAAATAAAAATGAAATAAATAAAATAAAATAAATAAAAAATAAAAATAGAATTATGTAACCATGTCTTAAAAAAACCTACGTTGCGGTAGCGGTTTTTTACCCTTCCACCAATCACGTTCAGCTTTTTCCAACAATTCGCAAATATATACTTCCTGAGAGATAGCGGCCGCATCATATGCGGTTTCACCAAACTTATTCTTAATAAGAGGGTTTGCACCACCGCGATCCAAGAGATATTCGACAATATCACGATGCCCCTTCGATGCAGCATTCACTATAACGGAAAATCATTTGTTAAACACGTGACTTAAAAGAACATAGTGTCATCAAATAAATATATTATCAACGAAGTATAGTGGCAAAACTATCATAATATAAAACAATTAATTCATTAACATGTGAATTCGCATATAATAAATTATATGCGTGATGATTTTAATATCAATTGGTTTTGGTGACAAGTTATTAATTGGAGATAACTCAACTCACTTAATGGGGTATGCCCTTTGTTGCTTTTAACATCCACATCGGCATGAGCAATCTCTAGTAAATGTTTAACAATATGCAAGTGACCTTGGGCAGAAGCATTATGTAAAGCAGTCCATCCATCGTTATCTTTCTGTTCAATATTAGCTTGCATTCGTAAAAGCCAAGCTACAACATCGACACGTCCATTGTAAGCTGCTTTCAGAAGAGCTGTCTATATAAAAACATGATTGATATGAAATACCGAAGAAATAGTTTATTATTTTACAATTATGGACATACCTCACCGGTTTGGTCTTCAAGATCTACTATAGCACCGGCATCGGCAATTAACCACTTTACGATTTCTAGGTGACCACGAGAGGCAGCATAATGTAGCGGGGTTAAACCAGAAGATGTGCTTGCACCGTTAGCAAGTAAAAAGGAAGAGGTAGTTTCACCGGAACCATGAGGAGCTAGTAATTCCTTAACTCTAGCCATATTTCCAGCGGCAGTTGCTTCATGAATATCCAGATCATTTTCCACAGAACCATCAATGTCTGATCGAGAAGGTTGAGAAGTCTGAATATTAGAGGGGAGTTTTACCTGATTTTTATGAATATTGCCATAATAACGGTGGCTCTCCCCTGGAATTGGTGGGTGAACAGAATCGGGAATATGTAGTGTGGGAGTAAGAGGTGGAGAAGAAATCATAGTGCTGTGGTGAGAAGCGAAAATCAAAAGTAAAATCTATATTGTTTGTAAGTTTAAACGTTTAAAATTCCGTATGTTTGTTATAAAGGTCACAAGTCGTAGTACAAACTTTGTCCCTAAACTTTGCACATTAGCAGTTCCATATTTGGTGTAGTATTGTATCTACGGAATATATCTGAGTATTATTAACACTTTACAGCTTTGTTAGCGTTAGTGTTTGTTACAGTAGATAGTATAAATGCTGATAAAATTGGTTTACCAATATATACGTATACATTATAAGGACTCACCTCAAGAACGACTTTAGTAATGTAATTAATGATTAAAAACGTTAGCACCCTAAAAAACCCTAAACTTTTAACTTTTATTTGATCCTAACCCTAACCTAAAGTTTGGTGGTGTTAGCGCTAGATATTCTAATCAAAATTGCCCGATAATCTGATAGAAATCACATGCAGCCGGCCGATCTGTCCGGTTACCATTTTTGTGGTCGGCTAAAGCGGAGCGGGTTTTCTAATTTAACGGTTATTTATTATTAGCGTTAGGGTTGGGACAATTTTTGAGATTTAAGAGAAGCTATAGGTAAAATTGCTTCTCCGGCATTTTTTATTAAAATTTCGCTGTAGTTTTGGGTGGTGATTTTAACCCCTGTTCGTTATTGCCGCACCATTTTGTCACAGTAGCAGTGGTTCGGGACAGTGGAACAATTAAATTTATTGATAACTCCTTATCGTTATATATTTTAATATAAAAAATATATATTTGAAATTTAATAAGGTTAAATTATTGCAGAAACTTGATGGAACATGTCCATGACAAGGCTAAAGGGCTTGGACACTGAAGCACGGCAGTTGTAATTGGCAAAAGCGACGATCAAAAATTTAAGCCGGAGCCGCCCTCATAGTATGATTGGCTGTTTAAATCAATTTAATTTATACAGTTTAAAGTATTTTTTTTAAAGTTTTATTAGGGTTGTAGGACTCCACTATTAAAAATAATCAATATTCTTTTTTGTTTTAGAGAAGTTAGCATAACGACGACTTCTTAAAGATAGATAAAATTGGGTTATCACCATGCTAACTTCTCTAAAACAAAAAAGAATTTTGATTATTTTTAATAGTGGAGTCCTACAACCCTAATTATACTTCTTTTTTGTTTATTCTTCGTAGTTTTCTTTTTTTAAAAAAGTACTTTAAACTGTATAATTAAATTGATTTAAACAGCCAATCATACGAATGTCTGCCTATGAGAGCCGCCCATTAACGAAAATATTTCTGGGCTAATTCAAACTTTCTATTTTTGGGAATGAATAAAAAAAAATATTCTGACCAAAATTACGTAAAAAATTATGTACTACGGGGGTTGGTGTGGTTAGGATTTATGGGTATTAACCACAACTTACCGTTACGCCATGGTTACTAAAGCCATGATTTGCTTGGTTATGGCTTTTTTGAGCAGAGTCAAGCCATTCAAGCCTGCAGTCGAGAATGCGAAAATACAAAAAAATGGTTGTCTAAACTCATCTTGAAATCGATGAGAAAGCTAATAGTCATAACAATTAAATTCAAATCAGATCACATGGATACAGAAATTTGTTTATAAAGCAACATGTTCAAATTTTGGAAATTCGTGAAAAATGAATTCTATTCGTGGGATACTCATTGATATTTCGGGCACCTTACTCATTGGAAACAAAGTCGAGTACTTGCTTATAGTTTATTAACATTACTACTTCATTGAAACAATTATTAATTTCTTTTTTCAACTTAGCCGTGCGAAGGTGCCGTTGTTGGCTTGAAAAAACTTAGAGAGGCTGGCATTCCAGTAAGTATCTGTTATAAGCCCGTTGAATAAATAAATGTCAAGCGGAAACAAGGAAGTTTAAATATAGATTATTAAATAATCTATGATATTCTATATTTAGACTTTCTGGTTTTCATTTGCAATACCCAAATGCAGTAATATAAATCCATAATACGTATTAATATTTATTTTATATAGTTTCGTTTTTGTACCAATACGACAAAGGAAAATCGATCATCAATTTTAGATAAATTGATTGATTCGGGTATTGATGCGAATAAGGATGAGGTTTGTTTTTTTAAAAATTTGATTACGATTATATAAAATATTAATAGCATAGTATTCAGGCCGATATCTTTACATATTTTTCAAAAAGATAATTACTACATTAAGCGCATGCCGTAATTTGATAATTTCACGCAAACTCAGGTGACAACTCGGATGGCTTGTATTCGAGCATTTATCATTGGAGATTTATCGCGCTATATTTATTCATCTTACTTGAATTAGACCTTTGTTAATTTTGGAAGATGATGCATTGGATGATTTCCAAGGCATTCCAACAGAAGAACCAAAGGATGCTGTTGTAGTAGGTCTATCACCATCTAATCTGCGATATGACATGGTAAGTGCAAATACAATTACGATTCTATATTTATTTACTCATTTATGTTTTTAATATTATTATCTGTGCTCGCAGCTTAACAAGGCTTTCCGCATCTTGATCGATAATCCAAATGCGCCTTTAATTGCTCTTCACAAAGGCAAATATTTTGCTGAATCAGATGGACTTAGCTTAGGTCCTGGTCCATTTGTTTCGGCATTAGAATACGCCTGTGAAGGTGTTAAAGCAATTGTTATCGGAAAGGTAATAAGAAATTTTAAATCTTGATCAATGTGAATTAATATTGTAACCTCAATTTTACGTCTCGAATATTTTAAGCCGGAGAAAAGCTTTTTTGAATCTGCGCTTAAAGACATGGATCTTCTGGAAAAGGCAAATCAAGTTATTATGATCGGTGATGATATTGCACAAGACTTGGGAGGTAGCGTGATGGTTGCTGTTTATATGATTGTCGCTTTATAATGAAATAGCTCAATTTTTGCTTCATAGGTGGGGCGAAGGAATTGGGATTAATTCGGTATCTTGGTACGTGATACTATATTTTTAACTATGTTTGAATGATTTTAATTTAAATTTTTATATATTCTCTCATTACAGTCAAGACCGGAAAGGTAAGATTAGTTAATACTTTGACAAATTATATAGTACAACATGGATTAAACCTGAATCTTTATTTGATAGTATCGAAGTGGTGATGAAACGCGTGATCCCACTATTAATGGTGTTTTTGATAATTTTGGTAAATTTATTGATTTCATTTTGGACAAAATCAAAAAATAGACCACATATACATACATTGCAGGGCATAAACTGTGGGGTCCAGAATTGAATCTTGGTAAAAAAGATAACGGTCCAATTTTTTATAATTCATTTAATAATTAATACTATTTATGATTCTATTTGTAAATTATGTAATATAATTTTCTTTTATAATTATGCGGCAACGTATTTCTTATTTCAAAAAATAAAACAGCATATAACTGTATAATCAAGTAATCAAGCAATTAGGGTTAATCTCTAAAGTCGGACAGACTTATGAATTAAATTGATTTATCAGGCCTATTACATCTGATTTTACTGTTATTTGTTATACGGTATATATTAATTTATGTACACATGGTTAATTAACTTTATCCGGCAAACTCATATGATCATGAAAAAATTTCTTCTTGTTATTTTTTTTATGTGTTACGATATAATTATGTTATTCCAATATTCAAAAAATAAAACTCAGCGAGCGACTCCCTACCAATCATGATCATAAATTGCCGGATAACACCAATATTGGGCAAATTGTCGAATACGGTAATTTGACAAATGATTGGTACACGTGCCGCAAAGCGGCACGCGCTCATTTGCCAAATTACCGTTATTCGACAATTTTTGCCCAATATTGTATACATACATGACAAAACAGATGTACAGCTTTAACGTAATTCAAAGTAATATTTTGTGTTACTATTAAATCTCTGAGAATGCTACGAAACATTTTTATATTTTTTTTTAAAAAAATACAATCTGGCTTAAATTTAAAATTTTATTAGTGAAAAAATTGATGAATATTTAAATAATCAATTTGGAACCAATACCTATAAAAAAAGCTTCAAAACTTAATAAATGTATTGCATAAGAAACGATTATTTTTTAAAAAACTTTGATAGAGAAAGAAATTTAATCTGCGTATCTAAAAGATGTTCGTGATATTTCTATATTAAATTTATGTGATATATTTTTGAATCGATGAGCACATCAAATTTTAATTTAAATCTCCTAATAATGAAATGTTAAGATGACCTGATATAGATTTGATTTCATAGCTGACGCAGAACCCAATATAATACGTAGGTTCTGTACTAGAGTTCCAAACCGGATTAATCCGCTAACCATTTATCCGACATGCTTATCCGGATATTCAACCGAATTATTCAATGTAATATGGATTAAAATTTCTAAGGTAATCAACAATATGAATTAAAGAAATTCTATTTTCACCCGGATAAAAACAGAATTTCTCCAACTTATATTGCTAATTACCTTGGAACTTGTAATTGTCAAATGATTATATTTTTGATTACTCTAGAATTTGTAATTGTCAGGTGAATTCGAATAATTTATCAAATTATTATCTATTAACAATTATCTATTAGATTTCGGATATCTAATAGACAAATGGATAAATGGTTTATGAATGGGAATACTGTTCTACAAAACAGTTAATGTTAATCTTAGCAGTGTTGACATTTGAACTATGTCCAATAAAAATTTTATTTTTGCTTTGACAAATATGAATATGGAATAATCCATGTCCATAACTTTGCCGAATTTTTCGGAATTTTTCGGACATCTAACCTAATATTGGCTTATTCCATCTGAAATATTTCGGAGTAGCAAGCACCCATGTTGATTTGGACTAATTGGACTAAGCGCCTTAAGTTTAATAAAGAATTTGACAATATGTACATAGTCAATAAAATGTTCATCCATATATTGCAAACACAGAATCTTAACTTATAAATCTACGCAAAAGACGATTCTGAACAACTTATTTAATACCTTAAAACTAACCAATAGC